TCATAGCCACACACAGCGACAGAATAAGGGTTGGAACCCCTGGCTTCAGCACTTAGTTGAGTTCTTCCTGAAAATGAGTTAAATGAAAATTCATTACACAAAAGGTATGTACCTACAATTTTATAAAGTTGTGTATTTTTATGAGATTAGAGCACTGAAAGTTTTGTCTCCCCTCCCGTAGAGTTTCTTAGATTCAAATCTTTAAATGAGAATGAGCCCAACAAAGGATGCACTCTGCACTCCCCGCTCCAGTTTGGGCCTCCCACCCAGATCTTCCCCCACGGCTCAGAACCATGTGGTCAGGGACCACCCGGACTATCAGATTTAGGCTTTACCCCCCTATGTTTCAGCTCATTCTTCTCTGTCCCCACAGCCACTACCTCATTTCAGACTTTTCATCAGGTCTCGTTTAGATTATCTCGTACCCAGGTAAGTGTTCATCCTGCCCTTGATCTTGCTCCCTTCGGTGTATCTTCCACGTTTGCCAAAGTCATCTGAAAACATCTAACTAGGACCAGCACGTCCAGCTGTGCAGACTGACTAGTACATGTGACCAAGTCACCATTTGCTTAAAGCCCTCAGCACCTTTTCATTGTCAACAGCAGTGGATCTGACTCCCAGCTACACATTAGAATGACCTGAGGAGCTTTTAAAATTACCAGTGCCAGGGCTCCCCCTCCAGGAATATTGATTCATTTCATTGGCTTGGGGCCTGAATTTCAGGACGCCTTAACTCCCCAGGTGTTCCTAATGTTCTAAAGTGGAGCTAGGGCAGAGGCAGGGAAACCAGTTAGGAAGCTATGTTTACAAGAGGAGAAATAGCAGAGGTCACAGTAGGGGTGATGGGAAGTGACCCAACACCGGGTGTGTTTTGAAGACAGAATACAGGACTTGCTGATGAGTTGGACTGGGAAGTGAGACAGAGAGGACTCAGGGACAACTGTCTCTGTTACTAGAGAATGTGCTCTTACAAGGGGGACTACGTCATCCTCATTTCTCTACCGCCTGTACCCAGCACAGCACCCGGCACCTGGTAGGAAGCAGGCCCTCAATAAATGTTTGATTAGTGCGTCTCTGCAGAAACTTCTGCACAATAACCAAGATTATTTCCTCAGAAAAGTTATCTCACCTGTCCATCCAGAACAGTAAAGGGTCTGGGATTGTAACCTACCAAGGTAATAAACTAGCCTGTTATTTCATGGGTGCTGGCAGAAGACACGAGACTCCTGGGTCACAAAGGACTTTATTACTCATGGCAAAAGCAGTAGCCAGACTTCACATTTGAGCACTACCTCCCCTACCCCTCAGTCACAAGAGGGTGACCCTGGTGGGCCTAGATGGATTTCAGCACAAACAGTGGGCTGCACTACAGAAAAGCAACACTTGAGAGAATTGCTGCTTTTACAGAGAACTGTAAGCAAGTGTGTTCTGTCCTGGGAGACACTGCCTGCTGTAAGCAAACCTGTAAGCAAACGTGGCCCAGGTAAAGGACAGTTAGACCTGGCATTCCTGGATGCCCAGCACAAATAGGTAGGGATGCTCAGGGCCTATGGCATGCTGCCCCTGCCAACAGTGTCCTTTCTAGTGTTTAAGACTGGAAATCTCCCACTGAGAACTTGGTGGCTGTTCTGGCTTATAGGTAAAGAAGACAGGAAGCAAAATGAAATTGCCTGTTTCAAGCCTAGAGTAGAGGTCTTTTCCTGAAAAAAATCTTAGGTCATACCAAATCAGACCTATACCCAGAGGTTGAAGAGTAATGATTTCACACCACTGTACACTGATTTAAAATTACACCTGGGTACCCCCGCCCCCCAGAATACACCTGGGATACTTTATCTCGTTTTGGGCATCATGCTTTGCACTAGAGTGTAATACATGAGATGTAAATGGTTGGGTAAAAAATATTTCCTGACACATGAAATTCAGATTTCTATGACAACACTCTTATTACATAAAGAGACCGCAAAGCCAGAACTATCAGTAATTTTGACCCTTTATTGAACAAGTCAACTGATTCGGCGTCTGCACAGCAAGGTAGGGGCTTAGGTCTACTGACTAAGCCAGACACCAGGCAAATTAGTAAAAAGAGCATCACTCATGAGATGCAGGGAGGAGAGCGAGAGTTAGGAAAGGTCAGGAGAGCTCAGAAGCAAAGGCGTTTAGACGGGCATCGCCAGAAGTCCGGGCCAACAAGGGAAGCACAGGCGTCTGCTCAGGGAGCCAGCGGCCAGGACTGCCGAGGCCCCGCACGAGCCGACCACCCCCTGACCGGCGCCCACAAGCCCCCTCCCAATGCGAGCGGAGGCCCGCGGGTTAGCCGAGTGTTCCTGGAGGCGCCGGTGTTCACGGAATCGTTTGCCAGCCTTGCGAAAGGAGCCGTGGGTTAACTCGCCCCAGCTCTGCTCTAACTGCAGCCGCTCAACCACACGAGCAGGGAGCGTGGCTCCTTGGCAGTGAGAGCCCCCTCCACTCCTAACCGTGAAGCTCTTTGTAGGCCCCCTCGCCGCCAGCGCCCAACTTCCGCCCGCCCCGAGGGCTGCAGATCCACCCAGTCGGGGGGTGACCCCTCGCCGCCCGGGGACGGCCCGCTGTCAGGTGAGTGGAGGGACGGCCAGAGGCCAAGCTCACCATCTGCAAGGAGAGGGTCCGAAATAAAGCTCGTGCGGAGCGACCCTCCCTGAACCAAGCGTCAAGGACCTCAAGACCACAAACCAGACACCCGTATGCGGATACCTAGCTTCTGGCTTGAAAGGGATTCTGGGACGCTGGGCGGGGCCATGCACGCAGGTGTTCCTGGGAAATGTGGGCTGTGCCTCCCGGCGCAGGCGCACCTCCATCGTCGTGGCTCCGCCCCTCGGGCCCCGAGCACCTGCTTGCGCGCTCCCGGCCGTGCGGAGGCGGTCGGGGAGCAGCGGGGAACAGGAGGGAGCGGGGTCCCCGCACCGCCCCAGGCCCCAGGCGCGCACCCCGACACCTCCTGCAGCTGTTTCCTGAGCTCAGCCCTCAAGGACCGAGCGGCTGGTCGACGCTGCTAGTCGAGCAGCCGCGACGGCCGCATTATAACCGCTCCCATCGCCTCCCTCCAAGAGTGCAGCCGCCTCTTCTGTCTCCAGGTGAACCTCATGTACCTGTGCACCTGCCTGGATAGCCAGCCAGTCTCGCTCTCAGTCCAGAGCCCGCCACCGACACTCACCGCCTGTTATTTGGTAGCAAATCTCAGCCTCATAGTGTTTTACCTGTAAGCATTTCAGCGTACACTTCTGAAGATGGAGACTTTTAAAACATAGGGCCATATACTTGTTGCATCAAAAAAAATCCTCTTTGTATTATAAAAAGCAATTAAATGTTTAGCTTTCCCTGCTTGATTTTTTTTTTTGGTTTTTTACACTGTTCATTTGATTCAGGATCCTAGATGATTGCACACTTTTAAGTTGATACGTCACCTAAGTCTCTTTTTCAATCTGTAAGGCACTCTGACATTTCTATTTTATTTATTTTAACGTATTTCTTGGAGAAACTGGGTCTTCTGTTTGGCAGCGTTTCTCATAGTCCAGACAGTGGTTTCAAGACACTAATATACACAGTTTCATTTGTTTCATGTCACTTTACAAAATTCAGGGATTGCTTTATTTTTCTTTACTATATTTTTGTATTTTAATTAGGTAAAGTTTTTCATGCTATGAAAGTAAAATCTATAAAACAAAGTACTGTCTACCCAATCTCCTCCCTCCCCTAAAACTAACCATTTACAAAGTTTACAGTTTGTTCTTCCTTTTTTTTTAATATAAGAAAATGTATGCATATGTAGTTGAGCCTTGAACAACGAGGGGGTTAGGAGCAGCGACCCTGTGGGCAATGCCGTGTATAACTTTACAGTAGTCCCTTCCTCCTCTGTTCAGCATCCGCCCATTCAACCAACCACAGATCACACAGTACTGCAATACATATTTATGGAAAAAATGCACATGTAAGTGGACACACAGTTCAAACCCATGTTGTTCCAGGGTCAACTGTATATTCCCTCCACCCTTTTTTAGACTGTAACCTATTATACACATGTCTCTCCACGTCTTCCACATAAAAATATACCCTGGAGATCACAGAGATAGATCTCATTCCTCCTCTTACAGTTGCATATTACTGCATTACAATGCATATCATTGTTTGGACGGAGTGTATTCAACTAGTCCTTTAATGATAGACATTCAGGTTGTTTCTAAAAAGAGGCGAGAAAGGAGAGAAAAAGAAGCATAAGTTAGGTGGGACAAGTAGGAAACAAATAGTAAGAAGGTAGATTTAAACTCAAATACATCTGTAATTACAGGAGATATAAATAGAATAAATACTTCAAGTCAAAGATTGTCAGACTAGATTTTTAAAGAATTATTCTGTTTAAAAGAGATGCACTTTAGGGGAGGGCACAGCT